AGGAAAAAAGGCAGAGTGGAGAGTATTGAAGAAGTAATATGAGGCGGCCGTCTAATATTCCTCCTAAGCAAAGCACCCACACGGCCTCATGTTTATATACAACATACATATAACTGTAGAATGACACACATACACTAATATCTATTTTAATTTTATTAATTTCCCTGCATAAAGGTCACTCCTAATAATTTCTTGAGTGAGGGGTAGGTTTTAATTTGGCATGGCGAGGGTGAGATTGATGCAGATTACATTCCTTGTGGCCACCCTTTGGGCTTTTGTTAAATCCCAAAACTTAACAACACCAACAGATCTGGAAAACAAGTGCGGTGAGTGCCCCTGCAACAACCCCTGCACCACCACTCCTCCGCCCCCACCGCTGGAGAAAAGGCCGCCGAGCAGCTACTGTCCGCCACCACCTAGCAGAGGCGGCCAAAATCCGCCCTACATATACATAAACGGTCCTCCCGGAAGTGTCTACTCGGTTTATCCCTATTATTCCGGTTCGTCTCAGGCGAACCCCCTACCATTCCTCATTGCGGCTGCTATCTTCTGCCTCTTACCTATCTAAACATTTTAATTTTAAATTTTTTTATTCACAAATTAATTGCTCATTTCAATTCCACTTAATTAATTATATGTGTTGTTCATTTCTTCTATTTATGATCCATATCGTGTTTTTATCTTTATTTTTTTCTTCCGAATATTCATTTATCTACTGAAATATATTTTTATTGATTATCGAATCGAAAGATTCATTCCCCGGGTCGATCTCTGAAGGAAGACGGTTCGGAATTTAGGAATGGTGTTGATGACACATAAAAGAAAAAAAATAAATACTAAACACTCTAATCAAGATAGTGGTTTTTAATTATCAACTACGTAAGAGAATTCAAACAATGCAAAATCGAACTAAAAAGCAAAAACTAAGATCAAATAATGATAAGAAGCTAAGGAGTCGGATGATGATTTTCAAAGCAATGCAAATATCAAGCTAAGATAATTCGGTTGGATGATTCGAACAACCTAACGTCTAAAGATTAATCCTCAATAACTCTTCGTAACAAGAGAGTATCGTAGACGGTAAATCACGCAAATCACACAACCGAACAAGTCTATTTCATACAAGCCTAGATCGATCAACTCCTTCCCTTTCGGTTCTAAGAGTTGATTAATTATTCTAGACGATTGTTAATCTACTAATTCGTTTGATTTAAACACATCACACAACAACGAATCATATTCAATTGGAAATCAATTGCAAATCGAAGTGTCACTCTTCGACAATATTCAACTTTCAATTAATGCACGAGAATTATAAACCCTAATTAAACACAACTCGCATAAATTGAATGATCAACAAGCATGAAAATCAAAATTAAACATAACGAATCAAACATCATCATCATCCCCTATCTCTAGCGAAACAAATTAGCTACTCATAACGAATTAAACATAAACATTCTTTTCAACCCAAGCAATCATATTCAAGAATTAGATGAAAAGAATAACTTACGATTAATAGAGAAACGATAGTTAAATCTGATAAACAACTTAATCCGGAAAAGTAAAGAGAAAATTGGGCAAAAGAACGAGCAAAATCCAAGTTTTTAGAGTAGGAGAAAGTGAAAAAACAATATTGGGGATTGTTCCCACGAGTCTGAGGATTGTTTTTATATACAGTGCTCGAAAAACGGAGCTAAAACGAGAAAAAATGAGCAAACTAAAAAACAGGGGCTGAACGGTCGCGAGTCGCGACTTTGGCTGCACTGCATAATTTTACGTTTCTGGCTCGTTTTGGCTCGTCCGAACTCGGAATTGAGTTTCGTTTTTTCCTACGCGTCGCTAACGAACCCATCTATCCAGTTATGCTCTCGAAACCAACTTTTCCTGAAGAGAAAACTCGCCCGAAGCTCCCGACCTACACACCAAAAACGACAAAACACGAAGAAAACTGGGAAAACAAAAGAAAAACACCTAAAGACTCAAAATGAAGGAAAACACATAATAAAATGCGAAACGGACTAAAAACGAAAGAAACGACATAAAACTGGGAAAAAAGAAAAGCAAAATGAGCACGAAAAATACAACAAAAATGAGACAAAAAGTTTGCTAACTGCTAAGTTTATTTTGGTGGGCACCATGTCATTTTGTTTTTTTTCCTTCAATTTAGTTAATTTAGTTAAAGATTCCCAAGTAATATTGCATACTGTTTCTATGAATATGGTCGGTTGATCATTATCGGTTTAGCGTATTCCATGATAACTAGTGTATACCCCGTGCGATGCACGAAAACAATATTAAATTTACAATATTATAAATAAATCTCGAGTTTGAGTTACTAAGTGGAAACTACAATTGATTCTATTTAAAAAGAGGAAGAAAAAAATAATTATAAATTAAAGAGGAGGATAAACAATACATAATAATTATAAATTAAAGATTCGGGGTCAAACAATGTAAAATTATTTTGTATAAGAGAAAATAAAATTTACATAATTTTGTATAAGAGAATATAAAATTTGGATGTTTAATATTAAAACACCTAAAATGTTATATTAGTATATGTAAAAGTATTCAAAAATTTCTATATTATTTTTGCAAGATGTGAAGTCACCTACAATTTTTCTAAACAATTTTAGAAGGAAAACATATCTAAAAATATTTGAATTTAACATTGTGTAAAAAAGATTTTTCTAGACTGTTTCTTAAAGAAAACATGTCTACAAATATTTAAATTTAACATCAATTATGTATTTGTGTGTGTTTATATATATATATAGATATATATATATATATATTATATATGTAGGATGTGTATATATAAATATATATATATATATATGTATATATAGACGAATATGTAAAAAAAATATCTAAATAATTTGTTTAAAATATCTAAAATGTTATAAGCCTAATTTAATAAAGACTTTCAGATGATACCGAATTTATGGTGTTACTTCCATCTAACAAAAATTTGATTACACACAATTTCAAAATTATTATTATATTTTTACATTGTTATCGAGGATGTATTGTTAGTTTATAATATTTGTAAAAATATTAGTAATTAGACCGATGAAAATTAAATGGGTCGAATTTTATTTTTGATGAAAATTAAATGGGTCATATTTTATTTTTTTAAATAAGGGATGAGATTTTGAGTACCATAAAAACAGGTAAAAGAAATATAAATATTTACCGAATTGTTACCGGCGATTTTTGAGTACCAAAAAAAGAGGAAAAAGAAAAACAGATATATACCTGCCGATTTTTTTGCCTATTCAAAATTGACCAACAATTACTATATATAGTATACATTTAATGATATTGGCGGGAAAAATTTACTAAATTTGTAAAAAGGTTATTCTTTTTATATAATGATAGATAACTAACTTTACTTTTTTCATCCTTTCAATTATAAATGGCGCAGTTCCTAGTGAGATTACTGATAAAACAAATCATAATATAATTTATTTCATGATAAGTACTAACGGATATATATGACGCGATGTCATGGATTTATTTATTTATTTAAAAATAAAAAAAAAATTGAGTGAAGAAAAAAAAAAGGATGAACAAAAATAAAAAGACGTTTTAAGGTAAATTAAATTAATTATGTGATTAACTTAATTTAATAAACATAAAACGTATTTCTAAAATGCGTTTTATATATAAAAAATTTAAAACCGTATTTTTGAAATACGTGTTATTAAGAAATTAATTTTATATATTATTTATTGCAAAAAGTAAATTTAATAAGCTTAAAAACGCATTCTCAAAATGCGTTTTATAAATAAAATTAATTTTGTAATTTATTATTACACAAATTAATTTTTTTTTAAAAAAGTATTTTCGAAATACGTTTTATATTTTTCCCCTAATTTTGCCCTAATACGTATTTTCGAAATACGTTTTATAATTTTGCCCTAAATTATGCTTTAAAACGTATTTCTGAAATACGTTTTATGTTTGCCCTAATTTTGCCCTAAAATCAATTTTGCCTTAAAACGTATTTTCGAAATACATTTCATAATTTTTCCCTAATTTTGCCCTAAAATTTGCCCTAAAACGTATTTCCAAAATACGTTTTTTGATTGCCCTAAATAAAAACGTATTTTGGGAATACGTTTTACTATGCAGAAAAATAAAAAGAACACATCGTTTGTCGGGATCCATTCCACAACCAAATATACCTGTTCGACAAACTAATAACAATCCATTCGTCAAATAATAATCTAACATACGTAGACTATATACACAAAAAGTCAACCACAATTATTGATTTAAAATACAAATATGTCAAAATATCAGTACACATAATCCAATAATAAAAACAAATATGTTCCAAAAATTTCCGTAATACAACACAAACTAACTAGGAGTGTATAGATTCCTAGGTATGCGCTTTCGGGAGCCCATCCGACGCCGTGGTGGTCGTGAAGAAGACGAGACTGTGGTCGTGATAGGCGTGACAGCTTCTTCTTCTTCTTCACCTGAGTAATTCATTTTTTAAAAAAATCACAAATTCGATTGGTAAAAATAAATAAATAAATAAATACATAAAACTTATTTTTTTGTTAAGTAAAAAATTCTCACTTTCTTCTTCTTCCTCAGGCCCAGTGTTGGCAGCGGGTTCGCGGTCAGGGCGTCTTCTACCTCCACTAATGTGGGCAGCGGGTTGATGCCTCGCCCGGTGTGATTGCGTCCTCTGTGATCGGACATAGCTCTCCTGAAATAGAACTTGACTGGACGACGTCCCTTGTGTGACCTCTTGGCCTCTAACAGTCAAAGAAGTGTAGAGAAGGTTCTGGGACTGTCGGATTGCGGCCTGCGCCTCTAGAGGGAGTGTATGAAATATGTGTTCAAGACTCACTAACGAGTTAAAAGCCCCCTTCATGGCTTGAGCCTGAAAATTAAATTCAAAGTAATTACTATGAAACACCAAAATAATAATAATAATAATAATAATAATAAACCACAAATTATGAACACTTACACCACACTTCTCCCGCTCGGCAAGTGGCTGATAGCCGCCGTCCTGTTGGACCACCGTATACTTGGCAGGGTCACTGATGAGTCTCATAGTCCTACTGTGAAACCAATCAATGTAACCCGTCTCAGGCTGTACAAATGCCTCCACAGGGTAATCTGGGAGGATATTTTGGTCTCTTTCTTCGATCCAAGCCTTCCCAAGCTCCGAATGAAAGGCGGCCCAATCAGTAAATGCCCTCCCAGTCATTCCCTGGCCTCGGTGGTGTGTCTTTGGTCGCCACCTTTCCACCAGACAGGTAATGAGGTTGTTGTCGGTTTGGACTTTGTCCATTCGAAACAGTGGCCCAAAACCCGTTTTGTCGATCACCTCCCAAACTGTGGGATGCTGTTTGTCCAACGCCTTCCAAAATTCAGTATCGTTACGGCGATTTTTAACGGTGCCGTTACGATATCCCTCTAAATCTTCAAATACCGCATTCGACCGGTGGCGGTACTGAAGATATACAAGGGAGGGATCACTCGGACCGGGGTGTACATTTAACCGCTAAGGTTGTGACGAGGATGATGATGCCATTTTCTACAAAAAAATAAAAAATAAATCATTTCATATGCTAAAAAAAAACAATCATTTCATATCCCTAATTCTAATCATAATTTCGAAGCTATAATAGCATATATCATCGGCGCCAAGGTCTCTCAATCAACATGACAAAGACATATAAAAAGTTCACATTAGCCAAAGACTTCAACACAAATTCATCAAATATAATCAACTCTCTTACACATCCTTTCTTCAATCATCCCAAAAAGTTTATAAAAAATCATCCAACTACAAGTATTACCTCAAATAATTTATAAACAATTCACAAACCCTCCTTCAACACCTCTTCACCTCATCACAGTCATCAGAAATTCACAAATAAATTTATTAAAGCCAAGAACACAAGCAATTAAGCTCAAAAATGAAGTCACCTCATGCCAAATATCACTTTCTTCTCCATACCAATCAATTTATATAGCAAAGCAAATGAAAAAGAGAGAAAATTCGTCAAAAAAAAAATCCGCACACAAGGTGTTCGATAAAATTCCACAATGAGTTCTTAACCCTAACATCATGCTTTTGCTAGAAACACACCATCCATACCCTATTCAATTAAAAAACCCTAATCCAATTCAAAACCCTAATCCAGTTCAAACCTAACCTCAATTCATAACTCAACCTCACAACACATTATCAAATTATTGAAAAAAGTGAAAAAAAAATTGAAGCCCTAATAGAAAAAATATACCTAATAGACGGAAGAGGAGCTGCGACGGTGCGGCAACCAGCGGCGGTCCGACGACATGAACGCGACGGCGATGGGGATGGTTGTTTTTTTAAATTTCCGAACTCATGCTCTCGGCGTTCCCAATCTCTTCTTCTCTGCTCTCTGGTTTTCTGTTCCCGTAAGTGGAGAAGAAAGAGATATTTTTTTTATATATTTACATGTAAAACGTATTCTGAGAATACGTTTTACTCTTAATTATAAGTAAAACGTATTCTTGGAATAAGTTTTACGAAAAAAAATGGAAGATGGCCTTGAGGGGAATCGAACTCGGGTGAGGGCGAGTCAAACCCTCAAGGGCACCTTCACTACCATCATGCCGTTAGGCGATCGTGTTTATTTATTTGCAAATTATATACTTATCCTTGAATATCGAGATTTATAAACATTTGACTTAAGATTTATATAGTATTTACATATATTATATAATTTTATATATACTTCATACTACATACTACAGATTATAAAGTATAAAGTACATATTATATAATAGATACTACATACTACAAACTATATACTATATACTTTATATTATACACTATATACTATATACTATACACTATATATTATATACTATATACTATATACTGTATACTATATACTGTATACTATATACTTCAAACTACATATTACATATTATAAAGTATGTATATAAACTATATACTATATGCTATAAACTATATACTATAAACTATATACTATATGCTATATACTATAAACTATATGCTATATATAATATATGTTATATGCTATATGCTATAAACTATATACTATAAACTATATAATATAAACAATATACTCTATGTTATAAACTATATACTATATATTATAAACTATATACAATAAACTATATACTATAAACTATATATTATAAACTATATACTCTCTCTCTCTCTCTCTCTCTCTATATATATATATATATAAGTGCTCTCAAATGAGAATGAAGCACAATGAAAGAAATAAGAATGAATCTGAAACATTGAATACATCACATCAATGGTCATGATCAAGTCAAACTTTAATAAATAATGGTCAATCATTAATAATAATATGGTAAATACATATACACATTGTGGTCAAATGTACATATTTGACCAAAAAATAAGGGTAAAATGCGCATTACACAAAATTACAACTCATCAATTTACAGTGGGCCCCACATACAACCCAATCTATGTTCCCCGAACGCACATACACAATTCCTGCTGACCCCAGCCTTTCTCCTCCGCCTCCCGCCGCCGCCGCCGCCACAGAATTCTTCCGCCGCCGCCGTTCTGCATATTCCAGCCTCTTACCTCACGCACAACCAGCGGCCGCCAAAGTCTAACCTATTCACAACAACGCTCGTCACTTGCTAGACTGCATCTTCCTCATCCCGATCTCCGCCGCAGCTCCAACACCGTCTCCGTCGTCGCGGCCTTCAGAGCCGGCGGCTGCCTCTTCAACTGATCCCTGTGTCGCGGTGGCTGCGACCTCCTACGAGAATGACACCGCGAGATTGGAGGAGGCTGTTGAAGGAGACGAACGAATGAAATGGGGGAGAGATTTGGGGGGTATTTTTTGGAAATTAGATAAGAATTTGAGACTTATTTGTAATTTTGAAAGTTTTAATATATTGTACTTTGGGACAATTTTGCTCAATATAATATTGCATAATAATAATACAGAAAATGCACAATATTATGTAAAAATATGCACATTAAAAATCACTTCTTAATATTTTTATACAAAAATATAAAAAAAAATAATTTTTATATAGCTCGGTTAAAAAATAAAGTCGACATCGATCTGAAAATTTAAAAGTAAGATCAGATAATCAAATCAATATATAAAGATTTGAACCTAAAATGATAGATCGTTCGGTTTCGATCGATATCGTGTACTCTGACAGTCATTAATGTGCAATTAGTCTAACACTATTGTGCACGGTTTTGATCGCTATTGTGCAGTCTGTCCGAACTTTTGTCACAAACCAAATTGAAAACCAAATTACATGGTTTATTCGGTCGATTAATTGAATTTTCGTAAATAATTGAAATAATTTATTATTTATATTATAAAAATATATTTAGTATTTTAATAATTTTATTTAATATATTTATTTTTAGTTGAATAACCATAATATATAAAATACCGATATCGATAATGTGCACACGAACAGACATTATTGTGCATTTAGTCTGATATTATTGTGCAATCTATTGAGCGAGTATTTTTTATGTGCATCTCAATTTTAAAAACCTTTGATAATGTTTATTTCAATTAACATTGTTGTACACTTATCAAATTATATTTCTAATAAAATATATTTAGTACTTATAATTTAAATTTATATTTTGTATTATTACTTGTCGAACATAAAATTATATATGCATAGATAAAATATAAAAATAATATTTTTTATATAGTTTGATCGGCTCTAACTTTTTTTTATTTTTTTTCTTGTAAATAAAGCTGAAATCGATCTGAAATAATTGAAATTTTAATATATCTGNTTAAATTCGGTTAAAATTGAATTAGATTTTAAGTATAAATTTAAGGTGAATGAATTATTTTGTAAACAAACATCCTCTAATCTATATATATATATAAAGATTGTTGGAAAAATTCATTTGTGGAAAGTTTAATTTTTGGGTCAAATTTGTTGACTTGCCATTTAAGGAAAATCTGTCCATATTTTTTCAAACCGATTTACTAAAGCATCTTCATTATTTTAAAAACAGTTAATGATATATTTTTGGTAGATTTGTTTTTTTAATATGTATGCAACAATATTCCATATTTTTCGTATGAGATATTCAGAGTTTTTTTTTTTTTAAAGGATCGTGCTCTATTTTGTTCAAATATCTATTCACCTTTTTTTTCAAGCCGACTTCAAAACACTATTTTAATTATTTCAAAAATATTTTTGTATTTTATTTTGGTTAACATAGAATCAAATACCTTCCATCTTTTAATGTTTAGATCAATTTTAAAAGATCCATCCATATTTTACATATTGAATATGTCGATCAATTTTAAAAAGATTCGTGCTCCAAATTTACAAATATTCGTGGATTTTTTTCAAACCCATTAATTATTTCAAAATACTTTTGTATTTTATTTGGAATCAACAACATTCCATATTTTACGTACTAGAATTCTGCAGCTATTTAAAAAAGATTTGTGCTCTAATTTTGCAAAGATTTGTGAACTTTTTTTCATCGAGTATTTTACGTACTAGAATTTCACAACTATTTAAAAAAGATTTGTGAACTTTTTTTCTCGATAGAATTTTGTAGCTATTTAGAAAATATTTGTGCTCTACTAATTTTACAAAGATTTGTTAACGTTTTTTTTCTCGATATGCACGTGTATCTATTAAAGTAAAAGTGTAGAAGTTGTATAAGACTGGTTTCTTTCAAAATGTTTGTAAACAAACCTTATCAACACATATATTAATTTGAGCGGATTCCACCATCAAAATAAACTATCTTGAATTTCATAAAAATAACTCAACGTTAAAGAAATTAATATGAACTTTGATGCAAAAATAATGTACATGTTAATTTAAAACTTATATGATCTTATTAATAGGTATCAATATTTATTTGAAAGCATTAAAAATTGTATAAGATGTTTTCTTTAATATTTTTTATAAGCAAACCTTATCAACAATTTATGACCAAAATATCATTTTTAAGATGAATATATTGAATTTTAAGAATAAATCGCATCACATAAATAAAATTTTGAAAATCTCATCGCATGTTGGTTTATTCCTGAAGAAGCCGGTGTATGGACAACCACCCCAACTGTACGTTGCAGTATCACGTGTCACCAACCGAAATGAGTTGAAAATACTAGGGGAATATATCTATTTAGAATTTCTAACGATTTTTAAAGACTTCAGAAATCCTGGTGTATTTAATTTAGACTTTTAAAGACTTTTAAAAGTCTTTAAAGACTTTTAATAGACTTTTAAAGACTTTTAAAAGTCTTGAGGTATTCAGTTAGGACTTTAAAAAGTCATACAAAATCCTAATTTATTTAGTTTATTTGACACTATGATTTGTTAATGGTTTTTAAGATGGGTAAATAATTTTTTGCATCATGTACTATATTCGTTTTTGGCATTTGCAACCTAAAGTTTTTTATTTTCATTAGTTGCAACCTGTAATACACGTTTTGTCTGTATCGCAACCTAACGGCCATCGGAGTCCATATTCCACCGGAAAAGCTAGCGTGCGACTCGCACGCTCGAAACTTGAGGATAAGATCGCCTTTTTCTCTGATGTTTGCAAGACATATTTGTCTTTCCATCACTGAAAAAATTCCCGTTAAAATCACAGGAAGTGAACAGAGTAAGACGCACGCAAAAATTCTTGGAGATAGCTTGGATACGATGGCTCAGTATTGCAATTGTGGCATAAATGTTGTTACGAAAACGTCATGGACTGTTCATAATCCAGGAAGGAGATACATTTGTTGCTCGAAGTCACGGGTAAGTGATTAATTAGGGTTAACCTAATTTTTGAATTTGGGCAAATTTGGTGATTGGTAATTAGGGTTAGCCCTAATTTCTGAAATTGTTCTCGTAATTAGGGTTAGCCCTAATTTCTGAAATCTTGTAGGAGGATGGTGATTGGTCATTTTTTATTTGAAATTTACTCTAATTTGTAAATTTGGGCAAAAATAGTGAACCCTAAATTCTGAATTTGGGCAAAATTATTGAACCCTAATTTATGAAATTGATCTCGTAGAATTGAGTTCCCTTTTCCACTGATAATTGTAGGAGGATGGTCATTGTTCCTTTTTTTTTAGTGAAATTCCCCTAATTTCTGAATTAAGGGCTAAATTAGTGAACCATAATTTCTGAAATTGGGCAAAATTATTCAACCCTAATTTCTGAAATTGATCTCATAAATTTGAGTTCCCTTTTCCACTTAATTTTGTATGAGGAGGGTGGTTGTTCATTTTGGATGTGGATTTAACCACCATTGTGCCCTAGAGCTCGTGAAATCATTCCAGGGCTTTTGAAACGTGCCAACAAATTTGAAAGAGAAACTCAAATTCTTGAAGCAGACGTGATGAGGTTGAAAAATGATATGAAGATGCTTCAATCAGATTTCAAGGAGGCCGAAGCATGTATTGAAGTTACTAAGGAAGAAATGGCTAAAATGGAATTGTGCTTGAAGAGGAAGAGTGTTCGGGAGCGTTGGATGTGGATTGTAATTATGATCTCTTGGTTAATCATGCATTGCATGTTGTAGATTTTTCAGCTTTTAGCTTTTTGTTGTTCAAACTCTTTTGGTCCTCTTTTGGTTGATCAAACTATTTTGGTTTTGGTTGTTGACTGAATGTGGTTCAGTCATTTGGTGATTATGTATGTATTGAATGTTGTAGAATTTTCAGCTTGTAGCTTTGTGTTGTTGAAACTCTTCTGGTCCTCTTTTGATTGATCAAACTATTTTGGTTGTTCAATGAATGTGGTTCAGTCATTTGTAGAAATTAAAACTTATGACTATTATGCCAATGCCATATATTATGACACTTTCACATAATCACAATCATACACACATAAATGGCAGTGAAACCAACCCATTCAAATAAACTTGTATCCATTGAACAATATTAAAAGCCAAACATTATGAATGATTGTGAATGATTACATCAAAACAATTACAAAACAAACCATTCCAAAAACTAACCATAATATCCAAAACAAATCATAATATCCAGAAGACATAACCATTGTATCTGAGTTCAACAAACACATCAACCACATTCATTGTGACAAAATGTCAACCACATCCACATGAAATTTTTTTTAGTTTCCAATATCTCTCAGAACTAACCCCTACTGGTCCATTATCTCCCCACTAGTTGTAACCCAATATGTTCCCAAGATCTCTGGCTCAGGCTGAGATTGTACCACATGCTTCTTCACCACTGGTCCCTTTGTGGTTGTAAAGCTAGCACCTTGAGTCAATGGATTTTTTTTTCTTGGTCACCTATTAAATGGATAGTAAGATCATTAAAATATTGAAACAGACAGTGAAAATAACACACATAAAAATTTAGAATACATTACCTCAAGTTTTCTCCTCAAGCCCAATGTCTTGCTTTTTTGCCCCAAATCCTTTGTAGGTGTGAGACCTTTGGAGTGGCTTCTTGTTGACCTTGTAGGTGTAGCTGCAGATTGAACTTGGCTTCTTGTCACCCTTGTAGGTGAAGTTACAACTGAAGGCCCTGCAATCTGACTCTGTTTTCTCATTTTAGATGAAGTTGTAACTGAAGGCCCTGCAGACTCACTCTTTTATCTCATTGTAGGTGAAGATACAGGTTGTGCTTGGCTTCTTGTGAGTCTTGTAGATGCAGGCTGGCTTTGGCTTCTTGATGAAGATGCAGGCTGCCTTTGAATTCTTGGTGAAGATGCAGGCTGCCTTTGGCTTCTTGATGAAGATGCAGGCTGCCTTTGGCTTCTTGGTGAAGAT